CTCCCTTCCCTGTCCTCTCCTGCTCCCCTGCCCTCCCTTCCCTGTCCTCTCCTGCTCCCCTGCCCTCCCTTCCCTGTCCTCTTCTGCTCCCCTGCGCTCCCTTCTGCTCCATGTTCCCCACCCCCGGGAGGCGTCCCCTTCTGCCATCCAGGCACTGCTTATCCAGATGCTGCCCTGTGGGAGGGCAGCGCACACCTGGTCCCCCCTCACCGTGCTTGCAGGCCCTGGGGTGGGGGCCGTGGCACCCACTGGCTTGGGTTCCCTGCTCTGTTTCTTCAAGTATTTGTAGCTCAGGAGGTTGTACCAGCGAGTCGACCTCTCCCCAGACCGGCAGACCTCGGCCAGGCTGATCTGGGCGCCTCCCTGTTGGGGACGGAAAAATGGAGAGCATAAGTAGGGTGTGACAAGGTGTGCTAGAAATTTGGCTTCTGTGGTCAGTATGGAAAACATCACTTCAGGTGGGGTGGAGGCATCCTGGGGGAGAGGAGAGGCTTAACGCTGCCGATAGCACAGGTGCTCACTCACTCGCTCACTTAATTTGTCAATCTTTGCTGAGGGTTTATCTTATATCTTTTTTTCTTAAGACAGGGTCTCACTCTGTCTTCCTGGCTAGAGTATAGTGGCATCTTCACAGCTCACACCAACCTTCAACTCCTAGGGTCAAGTGACACCCCCCACCCCCACCTAATGTCTCAGACTCCTGAGTAGCTGGGACTATAGGATGGCGTCCCCATGCCTAAATAATTTTTTTTTAATTGTTGGGGATTTTTTTTTTTTAATTTATTGGGGATTCATTGAGGGTACAAGAAACCAGGTCTCACTGATTGCATTTGTTAGGTAGAGTCCCTCTTACAATCATGTCTTCCCCCCCAAAAGGTGTGGCACACACTATGACCCCACCCCACTTTCCCTCTCTCTACTATTCCCTTCCCCACCCCTCCCTCCTTCTTCCTCTCTCTGATCTCCCCTTCTCCTATCCCCACCATGTCATTAATTGCCATTAATTGTCCTCATATCAAAATTGAGTACATAGGATTCATGCATCTCCTTTCTTGTGATGCTTTACTAAAAATTATGTGTTCCACTTCCATTCATGTTAATACAAAGGCTGTAAAGTCTCCATTTTTTTTAATGGCTGAATAGTATTCCATGGTGTACATATACCACAGCTTGTTAATCCATTCCTGGGTTGGTGGGCATTTAGGCCGTTTCCACATTTTGGTGACTGTAAATTGAGCTGCAATAAACAGTCTAGTGCAAGTGTCCTTATGATAAAAGCATTTTTTTCCTTCTGGGTAGATGCCCAGTGATGGGATTGCAGGATCAAATGGGAGGTCTAGCTTGAGTTCTTTCGGGGTTCTCCATACTTCCTTCAAAAAAGGTTGTATTAGTATGCATTCCCACCAGACGTGTACCAGAGTTCCCTTCTCTCCACATCCATGCCAGCATCTGCAGTCATGCCCCAAATAATTTTTATATTTTAGATGGGGGGTCTCATTCTTGTATAGACTGGTCTTGTACTCCTCACCTCAAACGATCCTCCTGCTTTGACTCCCAGAGTGCTAGGATTACAGGCATGAGCCATTACAATAAATATACCTACACACACACACACACACACACACACACACACACAGTGATTTAAAAAGAACCAAATATAAAGTTTACCATCTTTACGTTTTTTAACTACACAGCCTTTTTTTTTTTTTTTTTTTGAGACAGAATTTCACTTTGTTGCCCAGGTTACAGTGCTGTGGGGTAAGCCTAGCTCACAGCAACCTCAGACTCCTGGGTTCAAGTGATCCTCCTGCCTCAGCCTCCCAAGTAGCTAGGACGACAGGGGCCAGTAAAATATATTCACATAATGGGGCAATAGATTTCTCAAATCTTCTCCATCTTGCAAATCTGAAATTCTAGACTTATTAAACAACTCGCCTTTCTCCTTGCCCCCAACCCCCAGTAACTACCATGTTAAACTTTACGCCTTCAGATACCTCAAATTAAGTGGAGTCACATAGTATTTGTCTTTTTGTGACCGGCTTATTTCACTTAATAATACCCTCAAGGCCCATCAGCATTGTGGCATGTATCAGAATTTCATTTCTTGTCAAGGCTGAATAAGGTAACATTCCATTGTAAATGTATACTGCACTTGGTTATCCGTCCACCACTGATGGACACTGGAGTTTCTTCTACCTTGTAACTATTGGGAATGGGGCTGCTGTGAATATGGGTGTGCAAATAACTCTTCAAGACCCTGCTTTCAATTCTTACGAACCTATACACAAAAATGAGATTGTGGGATCAGATGGTAGTTCTGTTTTTAATTTTTTGAGGAACCACAATACTGTTGTCCTTAGGATTTGCACTATTTTATAATCCCAGCAATGCCCAAGAATCCAATTTCTCTACATTTTCACTAACACTTGTGTGTTTTTTGATAGCCAGTATCCTAATGAGTGGTGGTATCTCACTGTGATTTTGACTTGTATTTCTCCAATGATTTGTGATGTTGAGGATCTTTTCCTTTTTCTTTCTTTATCTTTTTTTGAGACAGAGTCTCACTCAGTTGCCCTGGATAGAATGCTGTGGCATCCTAGCTCACAGCAACCTCCAAGTCTTAAGTGATTGATGCCTTAGGCTTAAGTGATTGATGCCTCCTGGAGTGGCTTTTTTTTTTTTAAACTTTATTATTTGTTTTTTTATTTATTTAATTTTTTTGTTGATGCAGTTTGGCCAGGGCTGGGTTTGAACTCACCACCCTCAGTATATGGGGCTGACACTCTACTCACTGAGCCACAGGTACCACCCCCAAGTGGCTTTTAAGTGAGGTGAAAAGCTACATATTTCTTTAACCAAATTTGCAAAAAAAAAAAAAAAAAAAAAACTACAACATACACTACTGTGAGGCCATGGGGAAGGGGGACTAGGCACTTTCTCACTTTCCTGGTGGGAATGTAAAGTGGTAGAAACCCTGTATTTGGAATTTGGCCATATCCAGCAAAAATAGGGATATAGTTTACCCTTTGACTCAGCAGTCCTCCCCGAATGCGCCTACCCCACAGATACATTGGCATGAGTATAAAATAACCCACAAGTAAGAGCCTTCATGCTAGCTCTCTTTGTCACCCAGGGTAGAGTGCTGTGGCCACAGCAACCTCAAACTCTTGGGCTTCAGCGATTCTCTTGCCTCAGCCTCCCAAGTAGCTAGGACTACAGGCACCCACCACAACGCCTGGCTATTTTTAGAGATGGGGGTCTCACTCTGGCTCAGGCTGGTCTCAAACCTGTGAGCACAGGCAATCCACCCGCCTCGGCATCCGAAGTGCTGGGATTACAGGTGTGACCCTCTGAGCCCAGCCTTAGCTCTCTTTTTAATAGCAAAAGATTTTAAACAACTCAAAAGTCCAGCAACAGGGGACAACTGGATCAACTATAATCTATTTATGCAATGGAATATTACATAGCTATGTAAGAAAATGAGGACGATCTCTTTGTACTGATGCAGAGATCTCCAGTGAAGGTAAAGAATAGCAAGGCGCAGCACAGAATATATTCTATGCTACCTTCTGTGCAAGAAATGGAGAGAGGATGAGTACTTTTTTTTTCTATTATCTATACATTGCACCATATTTGAAGCATAAGAAGACCAAATAAGGGGGGGGTGCTGTGGCTCAGTGAGTCGTGCGCCGGCTCCATATACCCAGGGTGGCGGGTTCAAACCCAGCCCTGGCTAAACTGCAACAAAAAAATAGCCGGGTGTCGTGACGGGCACCTGTAGTCCCAGCTACTTGGGAGGCTGAGGCAAGAGAATCACCTAAGCCCAGAGGTTGCTGTGAGCTGTGACTTCATGGCACTCTAATAAGGGCAACAAAGTGAGACTCTGTCTCTAAAAAAAAAAAAAAAAAAAAGAGCAAATACGATTGTATGTAGAACCAGAAATAATAGAAAGATGAAGAAACTAATCAAAGTAGTTACCATATAGGACAGGTGGCAGGATCGGGGTGAAGGAGAGCAGGATTTCTCTTCAGTTAACCTTTCTATACAATTTTCGTTTGAATCCCGTAAATGCATCCCTTAAGATGAAAACAGACTACCAAAAAACCAAAACAAACAAACAAAACCCCTAACAGAATATAAACTCAAGGGATTATCTCAAGTGACTTAATATTTTTAACACACATCCTTAACGGAAAGGACTACAGAGTAACTCTAATCATTCCTCAGCAGTTTTATTGCTTTGACAAGTCCTCATTTGATAAGGCTGGGTCGGGGTGGGAAGGTCATTAGCTCACCCACTTCCCCTTTCCCCAGACACACCAGTGGTTGGTTGTGCCAGTGGGCGGCAGAAATATCAAAAGCCAGTTTGCAGAGTGGGCCTGCAGCCAACCAACGGCACAGGATGATGCCGAGGGTGAGGAGGGGGCTCTTTTGGTTTTCCCTTCTAACAGGATGTACCACCAGAACGTGGCATGGAGTGTGCTAACAGTAAGCTCAGGGAGAAAGGGGTGAGCAGAGAGGTAGCAGATAGTGCTGACAACTTCACTTATTGGGCACCAGCCTCCTATCCGGGGCAGGGCAAGTATCTCCTCCCTACGGGGCTCTGGGGAGGATCAGAGTTAATGAAGGCTATTACACACTTGGCACATTTCAGGTACCCAGAATAAACGTAAATATACATGAATATATGTGTATTGCACAGTTACTCATCCAATAAATATTCCCTGAGCCCTTCGAAGACTCTGGAGCCACAGCAACATGTAAGACACAATTCTTCCCCCCAGGGCCTGGCAAGACTGACAAATATGTCAGCTACTGCAGTTCGGAACATGCCAGGTCGTGCTTGAGGTACAAGGGGGAGGAACGTGATCACAGTTGTGAGGTGTGACAGATTATCGTTAATTCTAATGAGACACACTCTCTAGTTGGGGCTGCTTCTAAGTGTGAATATTATTTGTCTACCTTAGTAAGCTGGATGAGCTTGAGGGCATTTACATATTCATTCATTCGTTCATTTATTCAACACATAAAAATTTGCTAGGAAACTTCCCTGTGCCAGGCATCATTCTGGGTAATGTGGATACAGCAGGATTTAAGGCAGATAAATATCTTGCCCTCATGAACTTGTATTTGAATCTGGGGGAATCAGATAAATGACTTAATAAGTAAATTCCAGACCACGTTTCATCAGCCCTAAGATGCTTTTGATTATAAAGTGTACTATTATTTTATGCACCATTATGAAAGGAAAATGGTCGCCAATTAAACTATAACCTGTCATACAGCAGACATTGAACTTTAACCGTAGAGAGCACAAAATGTGAAAACAATGTGTACACTAAAGTCTATGATAATGAAATATTAGGTGATAAAAAGTGCTGAAGAGAAAAAGATTGCAGGGAGATGAGCTAGGAGGGGATAAGAGAGTGGAGAGGGTCAGGGGATTTTACCTGGGGTGGAAGGTGACATCGGTGTGAAGTCCAGAAGGCAGTGAGGGAGCAAGTCTTGAATTCATGTCAGGGGCCCAGTGAGTGTGAAGGTCTGGAAGGGGGGTTCGTGGTGGTGTTTTCAAGGAACACAGGAGGCTGAGGAAGGGTTCTGGGAATGCAATCCCAGAGATAAGATGGGGCCAGATCCCGTGGGGCTTTGGAGGCCTGGCAAAGGACCTAGGTGTCAACTCTAGGTGGAGACAGACGCCATCCTAAGGTTTCAGCAGAGGCAAGGCATGCATTGATTTACATTTAAATAGAATTACTCTGACTACTGTGTTGAAAAAAGGGAGAAAGGACAGAAGTGGGGAGACCCAGCAGGAGAAGCCTACATACAATCTTAGGGAGGGGACAGAGGCTGGGGTCAGGGAAGTGGTGAGAAGTGGCCAAAGGCTGGGGATCTTCTGAAGGTAGAGCTAAAAGGATGCAGTGTGTATGTGTGTGCGGGGTCAAGGATGGCTCCAGGGTGTCTGGCTTGAGCTGAGAAGAATAGGGTTGCTATCAGCTGCGACACCAGAGACACAGGACACAAGGCTGGGGGTGCTCCTGCAGCTGTGTTAGCTGCAGGCACCCCACTTGACCCGCAAGTGAAGGTGCAGGGAAGGCAGTAGAGATGTGAGATTAGAGAAGAATGGAGAGGCCTGGGCTGGAGCCAGACAGTTAGGATAGCGTTTGAAACCGGGAGATTAAATTGAGACTCCAACTACAGAGGTCAAGGAGAGGAGGGAGAGCCAGAAAGGCAGCCGGAGAAGCCGGAGAACACTGGAGCGCCAGGCGTTGGGGAAGCCAAGGAAAGGATGCTGAGGGGAGAGGAGGCGGCAGCTGCAGCAGGCACAGCCAACCGGTGAAGAGCAGGGAGCTGAAGAACTGGCATCGAGTGACAAAGAGCCCCCTGACAACAGTGACAAGGGCAACACCCACATGGACTGGGTTACACAGAGAATGGAACCCACATCTTTCAAGTTTTGCTATAAAGAAAAGAAGCAATATAATAGCTGTTGGTAGAAACGGGGTGAAAAGGTGTTCGTTTTTTTGTTTTGTTTTAAACATGGGAGAAATAACAGCATAGTGGATCCAGCTGAAGACGGAAAATCGAAAATAGAGGAGTGGGCAGAATGGCTGCTGGAGTGCTGTTCAGGTGGGGGGCGGTGTGCAGGGCTGGCTGTGGACAGGAGTGTGGAAGACGCATCTTCAGAGGCACAAGAACAGCTAATGTTCTAGGCATGGAGCTCTCTTCTGATTCCTCTATTCACTCCCCAAGAGAGAAATATAAATTAGTCATTGTGCAGAGTGGGAGAGTAAATGGTCCAGGGGAGATGGAATAATTGCTGGGCAGCACGCAGAGCTCGTGGGAAGTCAGTGATCACAGTTTTCAAGTGACACCACACAGCGTGGCTGTGTGCATTTTTTTCCAGTTGCGTGGGTGGAGGAGGAGGAGGAGAGCTCACTTGGACAGGGCTGAGGTTTTGCCAACTGAGTATGACAGAGTGAGAAAGGTGCAACGGAGACCTTAGAATGGTCATTTATTGAGTGTACATGGGACCTGGGAAACAGCTGCCTTAACTGGGTGGCAATGAACTTACCAGTCGAGTAGTGGACAACTAGGACCCTGTGATGCTGTGCTACAGCGTTTGGTGGGACTGTTGCCTGTGATATTGGGAAGACAGGCCGCATCTTTCCAAACCCATAATCCTAGTCTGGGGACAGGAGAGATGCTCACAGCAACACCCAGAGAGGTAGCAGGTGCAATGGCTGCAAATAAGGAAGCTGACAGTCGTGTTCAAATCCAGGCTTTGCCATCTTCATGCTGGATAACCTGGGCAGGTTCCTTAGCCTTTCTGAACCGTGATTCCTTATTTTCCCAGGACCCTCATAAGGATTAAATGAGATATTGCATGCACAGTTCTCAGCCCAGCAGTAAACACACAGGCACAGCTCCTTTCGGAGACAGTTGTTGCCTGGTTGTCTAAACCGCTTAAGACAGACTGGGGGTTCCATGTAGCCAGCAATGCTGGGAGTCTCTATGTGGAAGCAAACAAGCCCTTTCTCCTCCTGTCTCACTCACTTTCCTCCTCCAGCCACCAAAACACGACAGCCTGACACTCCATGTCCCCATTGCATACGGGAAAGGAGGCTTCCCATTGGCCACAGATGGAGACAAGCCATGGTGAGATGAGCGCTTTGGCTGCTGCCATGGCAACCAGCAATGACCAGACTTCAATTAGGAAGGAGGAATAAAAGGCATCCAATTAGGAGAAGAAAACAGGATTGAGTCTCTTCTCGTTTCGGAATGCCCAGGGCTGAGGAAACGCTTGACTGGAGGAGCCTGGGTTTGGAGAAGCTTTCTAAGCGGTCATTTGGCGTTCACCATGCTTGCCAAACCCTTTCAGCCACCATCCCCACCTCTGGGCTCCGGGGAGACCTGCACTGGCAGAGAACAGAGGGGCTGAAGTGTGTCCAGCCTGGGTGTGAACCTGCCTAGGTTCAAACACAGCTTCTGCCACTTTCTGATTGTGTGGCCTTAGGAAAAGCGTCTCACTTCTTGTGCCTCAGTTTCCCCAGTGGTATATGGAACCTATTTCAGAAGGCTGGAGTGAGACTCAATGGAGATAATGCATGCAAGCTGCTTAGCTCAGTGCCTGCCACATAACTTACAGACTATTGACATTCGCCACCGCGTCATTATTAAGAATGACAACACAAACGGCAGTGAGGCTGCTGTGCACCCCAGCTAAGGAGGACAGAGCAGGCAGCACGGTCAGACTTTGTTGCTCCACAGCCTTGCCACACAGTGTGATCCAGGGGTCAGCAGCACTAGTACCACTCGGGAGCTTGTTGGAAATGCAGAACCTCAGGCAGGACTTGCCCCAGACTTGCTGAGTCAAAATCTGCACACAGATCTCCAGGTAGAGCAGCCTTATTTAATCTGCAGAGGAGCATCTCCGAGGTAGGCAGGATGAGTTGGGTTTTATAGATAAGGAACTGGGGCAAGAACTGAGGATTCTTAGGCGAGTGACACAGGTGGGAAAGGCACGCCTGGTGACTTAGCCTTAGCAAAATCCTATCACAGAGAAGAGTTTTATGTCATAGGCAGACCCAGGTAAGGATGGAGAGAGGTTCCCTACCTTGGGGAAAGGCCTGTGGCTCACATCAGGAGAGAGTGGCCAGCCTGACATTCTCCCAGCATCCAGACTTTCTTTCCTCTGCATGGGCTCCTATCACTTCAAGCCACCCATTTCCAGCATGGTCCTCACCACAATTTGAGCCGTTAAAGTTAGCTCCTGTGTAGCCCGCTCCCCACTGAGTCCCCAGCACCCACCACTGGGGGAGGGGCCATGATGGGCGCCAGCAAAGGTATGAGCATGGGTACAGCCGCGTTCTGGGTGTAATGCCCACATTGGGGCTCCTTTGTGTCCGCAGGTGAGTTGTTACATTACCCAAACATCTAAGTGGCATCAGGGTTAACAAAGCCCTTTACTTCTTTTATAACCCTTGTGTTTCGGGTGCCAAGCCCCTTTACTTCTTTTAACACATCTGTGCATCGCACCCCCTGAGTGGGCTATATATCCCCCTTTTATAGATGAGAAAACTGAACATGCATCTGCACCTGGGTCTGCCAGTCTCTGAGGGTGTGGCTTTCTCAGGACTCAAAGGTGCCCAGACCTACTTCATCTCTAGTCCTGACTCCTGCCAATGCAGTGAGGAAGGGAAAGGCTGCCCTGGAACTCTGATCCCATCCCACAAGAACCTACTGTGTTCCAGGCACTGAGTAGGTGCTTTACATGCACTGGCTCACTTTCTCCTTACAATGGCTCTTCTAGTGGATGTGAGGGAGCCATGCAATCGTTCACACTGCACGGATGAGAAAAGGGAGGATCAGAGTAACTTGCCCAGGGTCCCCCTGTTGCATAGCAAGTGGTAAGTGGGATCCCAGTGCTTGTCTGTTCTCATCGCTCTGCACTTCTTGTCTACACTCTGATGCTGCACAGTGAAGCTGCAGCATATGGCTCGCATCCTCCAGGCTCTGGCAGTTTAGAAAGTGCATTCAGGTCTATTACTCCTCCTTGTGAAAAAAGCTCCTCTCTGCCCTCCCATAAGTCTGAGAACAGCATTCCCTCGCCAAAACACCTCTGCATGGAATCCACGATGAGCTTGAATGATACCACAACCTGTGTCTCCTCCAAGCTTTCTCCCCAAAGCTTGGGGTGGGCCAATCCCCAGAAGAATGGAAAGGCCAGCCAGAAGACAGACAGACAGACAGACAGACATGGCCCTTACCAGGCACTCCTCCAGATGGCTCCTGTCAGTGGTACAGACATCGACTCTTAAAGTCTTCTGGTGAAGGGCTGGATAGGACATGGATACCCAGAACACCTCATTGAACACGAGCGTGTCTGAAGCTTCCAGGGGCCGGGTCCGGAACAGGCAGGTGGTGCTTTCGGAACAAGGAAGAATGGCCACGCGAATGTTCCTAGTGGGAGACAGAACCATAGCGCACTTGGCTCAGCCCAGGTCTGGGATCAATGTGGGGCTAAACAGCTGCTGAAATACCAAACTAAGCAACAGTGGGCAACGGTTTGTAGAACTGAGGAATCCGGGGCATCAGGACCCCTCATAGACCAGAAGGCAAAACACTGCCACCCCTGAGGAGGGGAATGACAATTCTTAGAAAATTCCAGGCGCTCTTCTCCTTTGCCTCAGACCCTTCACTCCCAGGCATTACCCCATGGATACCCCCCGGCTAACACTGTCTGTGTGGGCAAGAGACTGAAAACACCCCGAGCGTCCTTCTGGTCGACCTTCTGTTTCGTCTGCTTCCCTGCCTTCCTTCCTTCTTTCCACACGTCCCACCCCCATATGCTGGCTGGATGCAGACCACAGAAATATTCCTGTTGCTGCATTCAAGGCCTTGTGGTCTAGTTATAGGAGAAAACCATATAGGCAAGTGAGTACATAAAAGCAGAAGCCTGGTCTACCATGGGAAGAGCCCACCTGCAGGCAGTACCCGTCTGCCACCCTCGCAGCCTCAAGGGAACACCCGGCCATGCCCTTCCAAGAGAAGCACAGGAGGACTGTCTCTTTGTGCCAGAAATACGTGAGCTTAGAGATGGTAAAATGGACTATGACCATTCTTCATGAGGCTCGAAGTCCAGGGGGGCAGGTTCTATGAAGGATTTGCTCTGGTACCACCTGACGTGAGGCAGGTGTTCAGGATATACTGGTGAGAGATTTGAAACTGGCCAGAGTGCCCCTCTTTATAACCACATGCTCCTCATTGTGACCATCTCCACACGCTCAGTTGAGCTTTACTGTGACATGCATTAAAAACACACCGTGGGTTGCTAAGCCCTGTTGTTGGATTAGGACAGAGCCGGAATGTCCCCCCAGGGCTGACTGCAGAGCACCGGATGAGAGGGTCACACACACCTGTCTAGCTACATACTCACACTTTCTGGTCTTGCTGCAGCAACAGAGCAGAAAGGTTACTCAGCTGGATGATTAATATTGCAAATTGCTTATTCTTCTCATCGTACCTGAAACGAAAAGGGCGCATGGTACACCTATCAGTAACACGCCTCTCTGTCATTCCTTCTTTCTGTTAATAGTCACGGGACGTGGCTGTTGGCTGCTCTGAGCACTGAGGTGAGCCAGAGAGCGCATGCCCAGGGCTTTGCTGCCATGCGGGATGAAGGCCCTGAGCTGTCGCTTCTCTGAATTTCTAAAGAGAAGTCAAATGTTTGGGTAAAATTTTCTTTCATTGAAATATGGGCAATTGATGCCTACTTAAAAAAACATTGAGGTCATCCCCCAGCAAAAGAAAACAACAATATGTGAAGGGATCAGATGTGGGCTGCAGCCCCCAGGGGTCGACTTGGGTCCAAGCACTGAAACCTGGATGGGATGGAAAGATAAAAGCCTCAGCAACAAGGAACACGCGCTGAGAGAGAGGAGGTCTCAGGCCAGCTCCTCCGTGAGCTGGAGCAAGTCAGCTCTTTCAAAACCTTACTTTTCACATCTGTCAAATGGGGAGCTGGGAGGTAGAGAAAGAGTCAGCATTCCTTTAGTTAGGGTGGACCATAGCCACCGAGTCCTGCCATCCTTGCCTTTCTCCCTGGACAGCCGAGAAGGTAAATGCTAGTAAAATGCTGTGGACGAGAAAGCCTGCACAGACCACTCCCTCTGTCCTCGCTGTCGCTGTCACTGTCACTTACTTCAGGGCAATCTGAACTCGGGTCGCACCCACTGCTTCGGATTCATCACTGTCGAATGCAATAGCTTCTGAAGCACCCAGTCTGAAAGACAACAGCAGAGAGGGGAGTCAGGCCTCCCCGCAGGGACCCACTCAGGGAGGCTGTGGGTGGATCCTCAAGGAGGGAGTCGGGGTCTGCTCAGCCTCCCTGCAGACTCCTCCCTTGAAGGGCACCCCCCTCTCCAGGGCTTGCATCCCACGCGTGCACTTCTTCATGGCTTCCACAGAACCAGCACTCTCCCAACTGGAAGCGTCTCCAGTCCTGGGAGAAGCCAGTGCTGTCTGTCTGGGGCTGCCAAGGGGAAGATGGGGTCACCAAATGTCCTCCTGGGGGCTCCCCCACACCACACCACCCCAAAGACCTGGGTTCTGCACATTCATTCACAGTTCATGGCCTACGTGGCCACACAGAGGGCCAGCACTCGGCACTCACCTTTGCACGGAAGCCTCATACACACCGCTGTCCCCTGCCACTGACTCGTCGGACACCGCAGCAGAGACACAGGCCACTTTCAGGCCACACCGCTGGGCCGTGCTCACAGCTAGAGGAGGAGAGAGGAAGCAGGAAGGATAGAAAGGCAGATTCAGAAACTAGGGTACTGTTTTGCCAATTTTGATGCACCCTCTGTCATAATTGACAAATCCTGCCAAATTCCAAACCCCTGGGAATGCTAAAGTAAGGTCTTGCTTTGCTTGGGGTAATGGAAGAGGTCACATATGATTGCACCCGAGGCTCTGGAGTCAAACTACCTGGGCACAAATCCCAGCTCTATGACCTTGAGACATCAATTTAAGTCTTTGAAGCTCCAGAGGACAATAATTTATAAATTGGGAATAATAATACCTACTTTCTAGGGCTGTTGGGAGGACTCATGTGACAATATAGAGGAAGGCTTGAGAGACTGGTGCACACAAAGTGTTTTGCAAAACTCATTCCACCATCCTTACTTCCACTAGTGTCCCTATCATGGTATGATGCCTTCTCAATCCATCCCTACACAGCTGTGGCAAAATAACAGCCCCTGAACCTTCAACAAGAGGGGTGGGGTGGGGGATTAAACACCTGTCCTCTCCTTCAGCCTATCTCATTCTACCCCTAACTCAGCTCTTCTTTTTCCCTACCTGTAACGGATGTCTTTGAAAGTCTCTGAAGTGGACCACGCAACCAGGCACTCAGCACAGGCTGCACAAACACCTACGGTGTGCCAGGGCCACTGCCAGGTTCAGTGGCACCGAGATGATTGAGATAGGTCTTGCTGTCCTCCGTGCAGTAGGGAGGCCAGATCTAGATCTTGCAATCTCCCAGCCAACACCAACGCTTCTTTTTTTTTTTCTTTTTTGAGACAGAATCTCACTCTGTTGCCCTGGGTAGAGTGCCATGGCATCATCATACCTCACAGCAACCTCAGATTCTTAGGCTCAAGTGATCCTTATGCCTCAGCCTCTTTAGTAGCTAGGACTATAGGTGCCTGCCACATGCCCGCTAGTTTTTCTATTTTTAGTAGAGACAGGGTCCCGCTCTTGCAAGGGCTGGTTTCGAACTCTTTTTCTTTTGTTTCTTTTTTGAGACAGACTCTCACTTTATCACCCTTGGTAGAGTGCCGTGGCGTCACACAGCTCATGGCATCCTCCAAACTCCTGGGCTTAGGTGATTCTCTTGCCTCAACCTCCCAAGTAGCTGGGACTACAGGCCCCCGTCATAATGCCCAGCTATATTTTTGTTGCAGTTTGGCCAGGGCCAGGTTTAAACCTGCCACCCTGGGTATATGGGGCCGGTGCCCTACCCACTAGGCCACAAGCGCCACCTGGTTTTGAACTCTTCAGCTCCAGTTATCTACCTGTCTTGGTCTCCCAAAGTGTGTACTAGGACTACAGGCCTGAGTCACGGCCAGCACTTCTGAGCACCTGGGGTATGGAGGAGCACAGGGACAGGCACAGCAGGCTGGGGAAGGGGATAGGAGACCAGGTGAGGCTGGCAAGTTGCAGGTGGGGAAGCCTACCGAGCCTGTCCCACTCCTGCTGAGCCCTCAGAGACCTCCCGCCTTCAGACCCACGCATCTCTACCCTCTGCTAAACAACTTAAAGAGATTAATTTGTCTGCTGACTGAACAGCAGCACTAATCGCATAACCTGCTTAGCGTCTGAGCGCTGCCTGGCATCACACGCTGCAGGGAAGGCTTCTGGAGATGGCAACGATGGAAATGCCATCCTGAGACTGTGTGTGCCCAGCCTCATGTGCTGTCTCTGGCCCACGAGCCCCGGGGACACTGTCGGAGATGGGAGGGGAGTCACTTCCCAGGCCACAGATGGGGCCTGAGCATCCTAAGCCGGCTTTACACCTCATCAGAGATACTTTCCTCCAGCCCTGTTAGAGGTTCCACCTGAACCCCTCCTCTCCAGGGAATAATTTTCTGAGGTTTACCACCTGCTGTAGTAGGAAGCTTGTTTTTGTTGCTTTTTGAGAGCACTCAGCAAGACTCCCTTCTGATGAGGAAACCCCAGGAATCTCTCAGCTCCTCTTCTAAGGAAACCACCGGCACTCAGAGCCTTTAGTAACCAGGGAGCCTCTTCTCTCCCCATGGTCCCTCTGGCCCTCAAAAATGAGTGGACAGTACTGGGTACGGGATCCACACTCCTCCCCATCCCCACCCCCGGAGCTGTAGGGCTGGGGTGGGTCCTACTGCTGCTAACTGGCCTCACAAGGAGCCTGGGGCAGGGGCCCTCTGCACACAGAGCTGGGCACAGGGATGGTGTGCATTCTGGGCAGGTGATCCTGGTACCAGTCTGCATCCCACGGTATCGCTGTGTAGGATGACCTCACACAAGCCCTTTAGCTTCATTTTATCTGTAAGGTGGGGACTGTTTAAAAAACCAACCACTTCAGGTATTATAATTCCTGTACACCTATACTCAATAAATCATAGCTATTATTATTTGTATGAAAGGGTGGGGGATGCCAGGAAAGTCAAAAGCTCCAGGTGAGCTCACTGAGCACCCCACTCAGTCCTGACCTTCACGCCCACAGCCAGACGGGCATGGTGGCTCAGCAAACACCAGGGATGCCATGCGAATAAATGCACCAACTCACCTCCCATCCTTAGAGTGGTTAGGGCCTGAGGTCACAGAAAGCCAAGTTCTAATCCCTGCTTTCTCACTTGGTTACTATGTGACCTAAGGCAAGTGACATCACCTCTCTGAGCCTCCAATTCCTCATCTGTGATACGGACAGAATAGAAGTAATCTATTTTACCATATAATGCACATTGCCCCAAACATAATACATCCTGATAAATGTTATCTAGTATGATTTATTACGTGATGGCTGTTAAAGGTAATAAATACTAAATCTTAGTTGTCAATGTCTGCCCCATTTTCTCTTTTGAAGATTCCAACTTGAATCTCATCAACGCCAGAAAGTTCCATCTGACCGTATGTAGAATGGGAATCAGATCATATCATTTCTGGTTTCAAATGGTCACATACAATGAGGATAAAGTCCAAACTCCTTGCCACAGCCCACCATGTCTCAGGGATGTCTAACCATTTTTTGTTTCTGCCACACACTGGAAGAACAAGAGCTGTCTTGGAGCACACATTAAACACACAAACACTAACAAAAGCTGATGAGCAGGCTTGGCGCCCATAGCTCAGTTGTTAGGGCACTAGCCACATACCCCAGGGCAGGCAGGTTCGAACCTGGCCTGAGCCTGCTAAACAACAATGACAACTACAACAACAAAAAATAGCTGGGCATTGTGGCAGGCACCTATAGTCCCAGCTACTGTGGGAGACTGAGGTAAGAGAATTGTTTAAGCCCAAGAGTTTGAGGTTGCTGTGAGCTGTGGGCAATGGGCAAAAGAAAAGGTCTATGCATACTTTTCTTATTATCCAACACTAACAGACAAGCAAAACAGGCCTCAAACAATCCACATGTGGCCCGCGGGCTGCAGGTTGGACTTCCTTGCTACAGGTTCTGGACATTGCCTAATTTTCTAGCCCTGTTGGTGACCCCCTACCTCTGACTTGTGGCTTCCTAGCCCCTTTTAGTCCCTGGATCTGATCTTAAAGATTTTGCTCCTGCTTTTCCCGAGGCTGGCTCCTTCTCACCACCCAAGCCTCTACTCACACGTCACTGTCCTTCACAACCCACTGTGAGCTGCTGGCCCGACCTCCAGCCTGAAAGCTCTACTGTATTCCCTGCTTTATTTTCTTCATAGCGCTTCCACCTGGTACACACTTATTGTCTGTGCCTCCATCTGAATGCAAGCCTCATGAGAACAGGGACCTTGTCTGTCATCAACACTGTATCCTTAGTGACCCACCCAGTGCCGGCACATGGCATATCTGCTGAATGAATGAATTCGCCAGGAAGACACTTAGCGCAAGACCTGGAACATAATGAGTTAATTATCTACCAAATAAGTAAATACATAAACCTCCCACGTGAAGACCTGGCACACAGAAAGCTGTCAGTAAATGATGACTGTCATTATCACTGGGGTCCTGAGCACAAAGCATCTCTTTCCCTGCTCCAGGCTCCCACCCCTGGATGTGGTGCCCTACCTTGGCCCAGCTGCTTGCCCTCTGCTCCTGGTTCCTCCAGCTGGTATCTCTCCCGGGTGCTGCTGCCAAGGCTAAGTTCACAAAGAGTGGCACTCAGCTCCGGGTCTTCAAACTCCAGGGGGTTGAGGAAGGCATCTCCAGTCAGGAGGGGGTCAGCGATGAGAGGAGAGCATGGCGGGGATGGGGAGGAGAGGGAGGAGCGTGGGGACAGGGAGGTCATAGACTTTGGGGTGCCTGACAGGGAGCGCAGGGCCTGTAGGCGGCCACCTCCCTCTGCCTTCTGGGTCTTGGCCACTTCGTCCTCGTGGATGGTGGTGATGCAACCCGAGGGCCGGAAGCCCGTGGCACCCTCCAGGAGCAGGAACTCCACCTTGCTCTGCAGCTCTGAGTCCAGCTGCTCAAAGGGGTCATAGTAGAGGTCAGTGAAGCTGGCCGAGGTGGAGGAGTCCAGGCTGGATGCAGCCAGGGAGCCCCGGCTGGATGTGAGGGATCCGGGGCTGCTGCCTGAGGACAGGGACTGCGTGCTGGTGGACAGGCTGCGGCACAGGGAGAGAAGGGACAGTGAGGCACTCAGCGTGGGCTGGTGGGGACTTTCTGCTGAGCTCAGGAAAGCACCACAATCTCATTGGACCCACTTAATTGACTCTAGGGTAGAATATCTACCCTCTTTTAACTGGGGGGGGGGGCAAACAACAAAAACAACAACAAAAGAAACAACCCCCCGCCAAACCCCAAGAAGCCCAGATAACCAGTCGGTGGCAGGGCTGGGATGTGAACCCAAGTTAACCGCCTTCAGGGCCACTTTTTCCTTTCGACTTGCTTCCTCAACCTCCACCAGCCACCTTGCATTTTCAAGATATTTTTCCTTATTAGAATCTAGCCCCAAATAATATTTCTTAATATCTTCCTTGAAATCAACTTCTTTATACTTTAACACATTTATCTTAAAAGGAAACTTTACATCCTAAGTGTCATTTGAAAATCAATTTCGTTTATTGCACGTAGAAGGCAACCATTAAAAACAAAATCCGGTGAAAACAAAATGCTGCTATTAAATTCCAGGGGTGCACTGCTGCTCACGAGGGAAGGCCCAGGCCTCTCTCTGTGGTATAGGTGGGGTGACAGGTAGAAGAGTTGGATCTTAAGACACACTAGCACACGCCTGTGGCCTCGTCCTCTGTGTTATCAGTCTGGGGAGCAGATGGCCCCTGTACCCCACCCCCAACACCAGGCCAAGCCCAAGCGCATCAGACTGACCACCTGCTGTGCTTCTAACTGTCCATGCTAAAGCCATGGAGCACAAGTGAAGGTAGAGCCTGGGCTGGGACACTAGGGACCCCTGTGTCTGGCCACCCCCAGGGGATAGCAGTGACCCCCACCACTCACCTTTTCAGCTGGGAGTGCAGAGTCGCCACCTGGCGAGTGGCTTCCTCCAGTTCTTTGACCAGCTGGTTCCTCTTACTGTTTAACTTTAATCTGCAGGGAGAGAATGCATGAGGGGGTGCCCCTGATAGCCCAGCCCTCCTCCTCCTCCCCTCTAGCTCCCCAAATAGAAGTGTAGGTATACGTTCTTACAGATGTACACATAGACCCACAGACACATACACTTTCTGGAAGCATTTTACTATGGCATATGGGGAGACACATACAGTCTGCACATGTGTCACTATGGCAGTGGTTCTCAACCTTCCTAATCCTGCGGCCCTTTAATACAGTTCCTGTGAGTCGTGACCCACAGGTTGAGAACCGCTGCACTACAGTATCACTCCCCTACTACGCCTTAGTTCAGCCGAAAACGGAAGCTAATGTAAGAATGATTTTTACCATTCTACATCCAAGGAAGGTGAGGCTATTGAAGTTATAATTTATTTGGAGCTATGGAATTGGTTGCAGAATTAGGCTTCCACCCCGTCACTCCTCTCCATCCCCTTCCCTCCTTCAGGTAGTATTTACTGCACGCCTACCTCATACAAGACCCTGTCCTTGGCACTGGGGATAAAGCGGTGTGCAAAGCGGAACTTGCTTCTGCTCTTACAGAGCTTACACTCTACTGGGCGTATTAAAGAAATATCAGAATAGGGCGCCGGCCCCATGTACTGAGGGTGGCGAACCCGGCCCCGGCCAAACTGCAACAAAAAAATAGCACCTGTAGTCACAGCTACTCGGGAGGCTGAGGCAAGAGAATCTCCTAAGCCCAAGAGCTGCAGGGTGCTGTGAGCTGTGACGCCACGGCACTCTACTGAGGGCAACAAAGTGAGACTCTGTCTCTAAAAAGAATGAAACACTCAAAAGTATTATATTGACAGTGTGTCACAGGGTAGGCAGCAGTAGGAAGGAACAGAAGAGGACAGGCACAATTTACACTGGTAGGTGAGCCTCTCTGCAGGAGTGACCTCACGTCTGAGTCTGGGACACAGCCTTGTGTGCCTCCTCTGTGTCCGTGGCTGCCAGGGGGTCTGCCTTCCCTGCCCCCTTGCACTGGATGTGGGCGGGTGTGTGTGTGTGTGTGTGTGTGTGTGTGTGTGTTCTGGCCACTAGGGTGTGAGCAGAAGGAATGGTTAAGAGAAGTGGGGGTGTCTGTCTGTCCTTTTGGGAGGACTCTTGTGACCTCAAAGGAGAAGTACCACATTCCTAAAGGACCACACACAAAAGATGCCTGTTTAGTGGAAATATGTAAGTAGACTGTTATTTATTTATTGAGATTGGATCTTGCTCTGTTGCCCAGGCTAGAGTGGCATGGCATCATCTTGGCTCACTGTAACCTCAAACTCCTGGGCTCAAGTGGATCCTCCTCCCTCAGCTTCCTTAGTAGCTGGGACTACAGGCGCTCACCATACACCCAGCTAATTTCTCTCTCTCTCTCTCTTTTTTTTTTTTGTAGAGATGGAATCTTGCTGTTACCCAGGCTGGTCTTGAACTCTTGGCTTCAAGCAATCCTCCCACCTTGACCTCCTAAAGTGCTAAGATTACAGGCATGAGCCACCGCAGCCAGCCCCCAATGAGACATTGTATGAGTAAGAAACAAACTCCTATTGTGTGAAGCCACAGAGATTTTAGGGGCTGTTTCTCACAACAGGTAGATTGTCAACTACTATAAGAATTTAAGCTGATATAATAAGGACAGAAGTTGGTTAGGGCACGTGCAGGGGGAAAGACCCTTCCAAGCAGGGGTTGAGCAGAGGCTTTCATCCTGAAGTGATTATGGCTGCTGTGAGGACAACGGGCAGAAGAAAACCAAAGGCAGAGAGGGAGGCTGCAGTGGCGGAACTCAGGTAGTAGGACTTGTGTGATGCTGGAAAAGATGAAGACAGGGCATGGGCTGGACAAGGGGCTGAGGCAGAGAGAACGTCAAGGAGGAAGACTGTCAGTTATCACCAGGAGCAGCTGACCAGACCTGGAGCCGGGGCATCTGCTGGCATGGGAAGGCTGAAGGGGGCACCCCGGGAAGAGAAGACTTCTGTTGCAGATATTTGGACATGAACCACGGATGGGAGAGCTGCTATAAAGTTGGGGTCACCATCATGTGGATCATTATATGAATGAGATGACTACCTACTTAAAGTTGATTATTATTACTATTTTTGTTTTGAGACAGAGCGTCACTACACTGCCTCCAATAGAGTGCTATGGTGTCAGAGCTCACGGCAACCTCAAACTCTTGGGCTCAAGCGATTCTCTTGCCTCAGCCTCCCAAGTACCTAGGGACTAGACTACAGGTACCCACCACAATGCCCAGCTATTTTTTGTTGCAGTTGTCATTGTTGTTTAGCTGGCCCAGGCTGGGTTTGAACCTGCCAGCCTCGGTGCATGTGGCTGGCGCCGAGACCAGTGTGCTGCGGGCGCTGAGCCTGATTATTTGTTTTTTAAGAGCTGATTTGTTTTTGTCCCTCCCACCAAATGCATATGTTGAAGGTCCAACTCTCAGAACCTCAGGATGTGACTGTATTTGGAGGAAGGACTTTTAGTCAGTCTGTGGTAGTTTGTCACGGGAGCCCTAACAGGCTAACACAGAATCTTAGGGTAAGACATAGAGGAGGAAATGAGGCAGGGCCTAAGACCAAGTTCTGAGCACAGATTCCAAGGTTGAAGGGACTGGCAACAGGCCGCAAGGCAGCCGGAAAGCAGGGGAAGAGGTTGTTAAATGTGATGGAATGTCACAGAACTGGAAGCAAAGGTCTGTACCAGGTAGATCTGATACGAAAGCCCAGTTCAGTAACTACCTCTCTGGAGACAAAACACTTCTGTCTGGAAGAGACCTCTGGATATAGGTTCCTATGTCAGCCTCCAGCCTCTCCTGAAAGCCTCCTTGGAGGGCTGCTCGTGTGGGCTCCAGGGAGTGTGTTAGGCTCTTGGAATGGCTCTCCTTGACACCTGGAGTGGGCTCACTCCAAGATCTAAGGGTCTGATGGGGAAGAGACTCCATCAAGCAAGCAGGTGTCCTCCCAAACTCAGAACTTGGGCTGCTCTCCTGTATCCATTAGGCTAGTGGTTCTTGGCTTTGGAATGCAAACCACCTGCATTAGAAAGGGGAGTGCTGGGTCCTACTTCAACCTGCTCAATCAGCAAGCCAAGGGGCAGGGCCTGGGACTCTGCCTTTTCATGAAGCCTCCAGGTGATCTTCTAGCACACTAAGGCTTAGGGGCTGCTGCACACTAAGGCTTAGGGGATTGCAAGGAGGCAGAGGCTGTGTCTTACTGCCCCAATACCACAAGGAAGTGCTCAGTATTTGGGGAATGTGTGATGTTTTCCCCAGATAAAGGAGGAAAAGCTCTGCTCAAAGACCTGCACATTGAACCTCCCATAGACAGATGGGATCTATTGCTGTCCCCTTGGCCCCTCATGATACCCTGCTGGATAGGGACTTATTGACTTCCTGGACAGGGGAGTGTAATGAGGGCACAGCTAACACAGCTGGGGGCTTGGAGGAAAGGGCTCATTTCTATAGAAAAATCAAGCCACACTATCCCTCCACCAACATACACCCCAGGCCGCCACCCACACCCCAGGCCGCCAACACACGTGCCCTGGAGTGGACACCAGCATTTGCTCTCGGATACATCTGAAAAGCCTCGAGGGACGGCTGGGGCACCTCGGTGGGCAACTGCACCTGTGACTTTATAAAAAAGACAGCAGAAGCAGTAGGCAGAGTGGCCTCGGCATGGCTCTGGGCCATCTCAGTCCCTGGCGCTGTTCTTCCAGAGTTTTGCCTGAGGCTGGTGGGGGCAGGCGGCAGACTGGCAGATGGAGCCCATATGAACAAAATCCTTGACTTTCAATGGCATGGAGGCTGTGGGATCTCCGACCCTCGGTAAAGGCAAAGGCCAGAAAGGGGGTGAGGTCTGGGGTCATGGGGCAGCTGGGGCTTTCCTCTTCTCTATGGGAGAAAAGCCACAGAGTCGTGTTCTGGGAGTAAAGGCAGGTCCCCACTGGAGCTTTGATAAAATGCTGAGGGAACTGGAGCAGGGTGGCCTTGACTTCCTGAGCACAGGGAGGGGTTAGGCACTGGCAGCAACACACAGGTGCCGAAGCTGCCCCCCAGCAGTGCCGGGCTTCGCAGGCCAGATGGCATGCGTGTGTGACGCCTGGCACATGCTGGGAGGCTAAGGACACATCAAGCATGGAAGGAGGCAGAGGGCCCAGAAGGTGGGGCTGGAATCCCCACAAGCTGCGGCTCTGCACCTGGGGCGCTGGTTAAAAATGCAAGAGCCTGGCCTGAAGAATCGGTCCCTGGGTGGGGGCCAGGAAGCCCACACGCTCACAAGCATCCCTCACAAGTATCCCGCAGGGCTGCACACCCGCTTTGAGGGGAACGGGGTGGGGGCAGCAGAGGGTAGGACAAGGTTTGTGAGGATGCCTGTGATGCTGACTGAGTTGTGATGGGGCTTTGGCAGGTCCTGCAGGCTGCCTTTCCTGGGTGTGTCTATTCCTGGCCTCAAAGGCACCTTGAATAGGAAAGGCTGTGTGTGAAGGTGAGGAGCATAATAATCCCATTTTGAGAGAGAGAAAAAAGAGAAAGAGAGAAGGCAGGGGAGGGAGAGAGAGAAACTGACACTAAAAATAAAGATACACACACATGAGAAACAAAGAGCAAGAGACCTAGAGAGGAGGGAAAAACCCCAGCCAGAGTCAGAGGGTGAGCACAGACAGACGAACGTGGAGCTTTAAGGAAACAGCTGCAGCTACAACAATGACAGCTGGGTGGGTTTCCCTTCTCCCTAGTATGGGAGGCTCACAGCCACCAGTATGGTGCCCCTTGCCCAGCTTCTGGGGTTCCCTCCTCAGTCTCCTTTCAGGGCTTCCTACCCACATCCTGCTGCCTCCCCCACTACTGCATTTACCCAGAGTCCCCTACCCTTGAGGACCCTGGGGTTGCCTGAGCAGCACGTATGCGGGAGTGTGAACTCATTGCTCCAGGGGAGCCCTCAGACCTTTGAAGGATGTGGTTGAAGGCAATAATCAAAGGTCATTTGCATTAGCAGCAGCTGAAGTGTATGTAGTATGGGCTCTGGAGCAAGCAAGCTTGGGGGCTTCTAATCCTGGCTCTGCCACTCAGTGATGTCAGCTGAGCCTCAGTTTCCTCATCTGTAAAATGGGGACCAGCCTTAGGGTTAATAGGAGTTTTAAACGAGATGACAGAGGTTACAGAGTCTGGCACAAGATGCCAGCTTTTACATGTCATATACTTTAGGGGTCCCTAAGAGAACCTCTAATCCTGCTTTCAAGAAGCCAGTGTTTTTATAGCAGGGAAGAGCCTCAATTCATAATGTGGTCCAATGGCCTTCAGACTAGATAGGTATTCACTGTGATTATAGCAAACCCTTAGTTAAGGTCATCAATAGGTTCCTGGAAACTGACTGTAAAACAACACGGAACAGGTACTTAAATAACTTCAGTCCCCGGGAAAGCGGGACAGAGAGTCTTGGTGCTAAAGGTGACTTTTAGCATGTACTTCCAATTATTCAATCTCTACTCTTTTCATCCTCTCCTGCCTACCTGAAGGTGAGTCAGGGCTAGTCAGCCATGCCAGCCAGTAGAGGATGGAGACGAGGAAATGGAGACACTGCAGACATCCATCTAGCAGTCCCAATAAAGTGTTTGGTGGGGAGCGATTCCCACCATCAACCAGTCAAGAAAGTCTTTGCAGCCAGGAGAGGCCAGGCAGAGGCTTGTAAACTTGACCCACCGGGCACCACACCAAGTGCAAGAGGGGCTCACTCAGTTGCTAGGCTGGTACCACACATGGGGCACCTTAGGGCACCAGGGCTCCCTCAAGGACCCACCACGGGGTGATACAGGATTTCTAGGCTACTTCAAACTGAGGTACAGACACGTTTACCTGTTTACAACCTGAGATGCTGCCTCTGATTTCACAGAAAAGGTATTCCCTTGCTGATTCCTGGCCACCCCATCCTACACAGAAACATTTGAAAATCACTAGCTTTAATTCTAAGCTCCTGAAGGGCAAGAACTTTGCTGAATAAAGTCTGCTGCAAACAAAACAAAAATCTAGAAAGAACTGATTTCAAGGTCATGGGCAAGGGAACATGTCTTATATTAATTCTGAGTCCCCAAAATTGCCTTGTACACACAAAATGTGCAGCAAAACATCTCTCAAATAAATGAATAAACTCTGTGATGGACAGGATGAATGAATGAATGAATGAATGCGCAGCTGGGGAAGGCAGCACCCCATGGACACAGAGCTGCATTCTGTGCAGTGTGGGTGTGCAGGTTGGTAGGACACTGAAGGAAATAAAGACAAAGTCTATTATGAGGTCTGGGCCAGAGAACATGAACCAGTAACTTTTAGGTTATGCCAAGTCCACAGATGAAACTGGCTCACGGTACTTTTTTTTGAATTTCGATTAGTTGCTAATATTTAAAAATTAAAGCTCCAAACAACTGTTTTGCTTGAAATACAGGGACCTCGGGTAGCGCAGGGTCCGCCTCGCCATTTGCTGCAGCAGGGAGAGAGCCCCTCGCTTTAGTCCAGCGGGTCTGTGCCCCCTAGTCTGACACGGCCCACGCCCATGCGGGTCTCCAGCATTCTAAGTCCCGCTAGGCCCCATGGGCATGCCAGTTTGCAACCTCCATCCACAGCAGTGCTTTTCAAACTTCAAACTGCATACTAATGCAGTGAAATCAATTTGGTGGGCATGAAAAGAAAGGAAACGGAAGAGAGGAAGGCACAAGACACAAAGAGAGTAAGCACTGTTTAGTGAACCTAGTGTTAGGTCACAATATAAAATGTGCACCAATGTCACAAAATTGGAAAACAACTGCTCTATCAGGCGTCCTCAAAGTATTGCCTACGGGCCACATGCGGGACACTGAGGACATTTATCCGGCCTGCCAGGTGTTTTTGCCGCTGCTGCCTGTCCTGCTTAGCAGCCGTATCCTGGGGCCCACAGTCCGGCCCTCCAATGGTCTGAGGGACACTGAACTGGCCCGCTGTTTAGACTTTTTGGTAATGTGATTCACTGGGTAAAGTACCAGGGTAGCTGGGTGTTCTGGGTAGTGACTCATCTTCCCCTGACTTGCTACTTGGGTGAGATGTGAGAACCTCTAACCTAAGTGTGCTCACGGCAGAGCCCAAGTGCCCTAGGGTGTCCCACTTGCGCCTCCCTGCTGCTGGGACCTGGGGGACAGACCAGCAGTGAAAGAAGGATCCCAGGCACCGCAGCCCCACCTCTCGGTCAGCGCCTTGCTCTGGGTGTCCCGGGCCGCCTGCAGGTCCTTCTCCAGCCGCTTCCGGGCCATCTCCAGCTGCTCCACCTCCCCCTGGGTCCACTTCCTCGGGCTGATGAAGCGCATCTCCTTCAGCAGCTCCTCCTTCTCGTTGATGAGGATCAGTCGGTCCCTCTCAGAGTCTAGGACCCCAGGCCATGCCTCACTGTCCAGCTTGGCCAGCTGAATCTTCAGGTTGGCGATCCTGGGGGGCCAAGAAGGCAAGCATGATTGGGTTGTGGAGGGGAGACAGAGGTGTGCCCAAGGTCGCAAGTTGGCATGAGGAACCATGACATCCTCCCAGCAACTTGTCACCCTGAGTAGTGCCATGGTATCACAGCTCACAGCAACCTCAAACTCTTGGGCTTAAGAGATCCTCTTGCCTCAGCCACTTGAGTAGCTGGGACTGCAGTTGCCCTCCACAATGTCCAGCTAGTGGGTTTTTTTTCTTTTTTTTCTATTTTTAGTAGAGACGGGGGTCTAACTCTTTGCTTTGGCTGGTCTCAAACTCTGGAGCTCAAGCAATCCACCTGCCTCGCTTCCCAGCCTGCCAGGATTACAGGCGTGAGCCACCATGCCAGCTACCTCAGAGCAATCTTAGGTAGTTATTATCTTCCTTTTGATCAGCACATCTTGTTGGTAGCAAGGAACCTGTTTTTATCTAAACAAACACCACGTGCCAACAGTGAAGCAGGCTCTGCAGGGATGGGGTATGGACACAAGTAAGGCAATATCCTTGTCTGGACACACTAAGACTGGTTCAGTAGGGACTTAGATTCAGGACTAGGCAGTAACCTCTTACTACCAGCTGTGTGACTCCAAGCAAGTCACCATCTCTCTGACAGGAATAACAAAACTTCCTTCCTCTTGGGCCTGTGGTCAAAGATTTATGACATAATCTGTAAACCCTCAAAGCACAGTATTTTGCACACAGCAAGCCTTCCTTCAGTAAGTATTTCTATTGCTACTTTTGTTACCACCTGGTATGACCCTTACTAGGTGTGTAACAGTGGCAAACTCCCTGGGCCTTGAACATGAGAAAAACAATTATTCATCTACCAGAATGGTTGTGAAAATCAGTAATAATGTATTCATGATGTTCGGCACACAAGTACCGAGTAAATGGCAGTCCTGGAGCACAAGGACTACAATTACTAACCATGAACTCTCAGTTCAGAGAGCAGTGGTAGAGCTGTGTACACAGCTGTAGATTTGGGATCAGAGGCCTTTGGCTAGAGTCCTGGTTCTGGTCTTCTTGACAGAAGTAACCATTTCTTGGGTGGCTCCTGCGACTTGGCAGGTGAGACGCTGGCCCCATATGCTGAGGGTGGCGTGTTCAAACCCAGCCCTGGCCAAACTGCAACAAAGAAATAGCTGGGTGTTGTGGCAGGTGCCTGTAGTTCCAGCTACTGGGAGGCTGAGGC